ATGTGCTTATTCAGAACAGAATCAGAAATACTTTAATATCCAGAGGGAAATTATATTCGTTACACCTAAGATATTACAAATGACATACTATAGAAACAACATATATATATATACAACATTCACACAAAAATACTAACATAGGGGATACATATTAACATATAGTGATAGCGTACCTATCAGAATAGACCAAACTATAAGTTAATAATATAATGTGCAAAAAGAGTGAGAGATGAATAATAATGTACGTATAATTTTGAGTAGGAATTACAGAGGGGGGATGTGTGCTCTCTGAGGATGGGTTGTAGTGTGGGTGTGGTGTGGCGTTTGTGTGATATGTGGGCGGCGCGGTGTGGGGTGCAGGAATTTATTTCCTGGGCGCTCTGTGGTGCTATGGGGTGAGAGGGTTTCTGTTTGAGAAGGATCTCCTGCCTGGTTGGTGTGTAGAGAGGGTGCTGATTTTGTCAAAGATGGATGAATGCCTGGACATGGCATCCTCTCTCTTGCCGCAGGCGGTGCGTCAGAGTGTCAGCGTCATCCCTAGACATCCCAGCGTCTGATCATTTGTTTAGGTCGTGTTGGTGTCTGCGAACGTTTCAGCCCTGTGCCCGGCGAGCATGTGACAGGCAAGAAGAAGATCGTACTTGCCACAACAGACTCTTGTTAGAACATCCTAGCTCGTCCGGCGATGTTAAAGGACTCAGCTCCTCGAAAAAGAGTCGGCTTTGGCTTGTTTGTAGGACAGGCCTCGGTGTTGTCTAGGTCCAGTGGCGCTTATGTATTAAGTACACCCGGCAGGTACCTTATCTCCTCCACAGTGTCCAGCAGGGACCCTGGGATGGAAACATGGGGTCACAGGTGGTTTTTGACCTTCTCGGATCCACTAGATTTCGCTCTTAGTCTTTGGTCACAGTTGAGTGCCAGACGTGGTTTCAGCTCATCAAGTGACAAAGTTGCCCACCACAGTCCGTATTCATTTCATACTTGTTAATGCGCAACTATTGCTGAGTATTCAGAAAAATCCTGAAGGGGCAGAGTCATGCAATGGTTGAAGTCGAAGTGGTAAGAGGGTGAAAGAGAAGGGAAGAGAATGGTAATCCTGCTGTGGGGTCCAGTGTTGCTGCACCCTGTAAGACAGCAATCGTAGGCTTACCGTACTGTGGTCGTGGTGGTGTAGTATCTATGGCAGATGGGGGCTCTCATGGCATCACCGAGTAATTTTCCATTCACCCGAGTTTAGGTCGGAGCGGATGGTGGTTGAAAGCACTGGAGAAGTCAAAGAACATGACTCTCAGGGCTCGCGGTTGTCGATGTAGGTGTATATTATCTCTCCAGCAGGTAAGACTGTTCTCAGGACTCTCGCTAGGTTGCGGTTGTCGATACGGCGAAACTGCAGTAGGAACTCATGAAAGGAGCTTAGTCAAGTAGGCCAATTAGGACTGCTTCCAGGGACAGCCTCTATCGGTAAACAAGGGTTCATGGCATAGATTGTTGGGAAACTGTTGTTTATAAACGCAAGTCTAGCTCAGGTCTGCGTGTTTCTCGCTTTTGTGATCGTCGAGACGTCTTTGGGAATGGAACTGATGAAGCCAAACTGCCACGCTCTCTCGCGCGCGCGCACACAATTCTGGATGGTGAGGCTCAGGTGGAAAGACTAGGTAACTTTTAGAGTCCTTGGGGAAGTCTTGGAGGCACATGGCTTTACGCTAATGGGATGAATTGCACTACGCATCCCCGGGCCCCTGAAGCCTTTTGCAGGAGTGGAGTCATCCTGGGTCAAAGCCTGTCTTCTCACCCAGGTCCAGGCCGTGACAGGGACAATAGAGTGCAGTTGGGGGAGGGTGAAGTCTACAAATGGGTGTTGGTAGGATATTTTGAAGAGCCAAAGAGCACGGCGCGGGAAGGGTGGAGTTAAGTGGTGTGCATTGAGGTGGTTGAGGCGCCCAACAAGGGGTCCTGTAGATGAGGATAGGGGAACGGTTAGAAGTGGACCAGAGTTGTTTGGTAGCCACCAGCAGATTTGTGCGGGGATGGGGAGCCAGTATAACCCTATTGAAAATAGGTTACACAAGTTAATTGGACGGTCAACCATGACTCCAACACCAAGTGGTCTAGTATGGTGCGAACCTCGGGTGATGGTTTTCATGCCAACTAAACATCCCTATGTTGTTTTGATGGATTTTATTCTTAGCTTTCCTATACTTGTATTTAGGACCTACCTGATTTTAACCTTTGAGGTACACCCTGCCCATTACCTTGCACCTATCCACAGGTTGCCATCCTAGAACGCATTTATTCTCATTAGGATGGACCAATTTAATGATTGGTGATACAAGGGGTTTATTGTTTGGCATAAAAGGTTACGAGTGCGAGATGGACTTTGACAAGTCCAACAGAGTGATGTAATGTTGATGACTTGTGAGCAAATAAATGTATCACACTGTGGGGAATAACAAGGAGTGAGGAAAGTAAGTAACTTAAAGCAAGGCATGCAGTGGACACTGTAAGATACACCTCGACAATACAATACAGTACTTGCGTGCGTCGTGGCTTCAAATTACTATTCACAAAAACAAACCAAAAGGGGGAAAGGAACATGAAGGGATTTTAAGTGGAACAGGTTGTGGATATGAACTGAAAGAGGGGGAGAGAGGAGGAGATGTATGAATCCATTATCTATGAATATTAGGTGAATCAAGCGGATTATAACCAGAGTCATTTTTATCTCCACAAAAAAGCGGGAAAAAAAAGAACATATACTTCTAAAAAATATTTTACATACCATTGTACTAAATCAACTAATTGTATAATGATTTAGCGTAGCATGGACCTTGACTCTATCCAACTCATTAGGGGACTTAAAACAATCTTCACAAGTTATCATTAGGCCCACTTGTATATTTCTAATGTACATTTTTTTAATCAGTACCCTTACAAAGTTTAAACAGACATTTTTAAACTATCCAACAAATCGATTAACTAGCAGGCAATAAAATCTGTCTACAATATTAAAATATAGTAGAGAGCCATAATGATAGATTACATTAAAGTGGTCGTAGGCTTCCTCTTCACCAGAGGCACATAGCAGGGTTTGAGGTGAACCAGGTTGTGATCTGACCTGCCCAGAGGGGGGAGAGAAGAGGAGATGTATGCATCCTTATTATTAAGTGATCATCGGATATAACAGAGTCACATTTTTCTCTCAAGCGGAAAGAAAATTCTTAAAATTACTCATAAAGCTGCTCTACTATGAATGTCTGAACCTTTATAACTTATGTAACCATCTCACAGATAAACCTGCATGTATAAAAAAACAAATGTTTACCACAGCCTCATTCCGCATAATCTGTCTCACATTTAAAGCAGAGACACTAATGTCAGTTGCATGTCCTTACACACATATTGCCTGTCACTGAATGATTTTATTTTACAATTCCCCGAGTATTTACCTCATTATTACAAGTTTCCTCTGAAGTGTCTTTGATGAAACACCTGCAGTATGTTTTCTGACTGATAGAGACATTACTTCATACCTAACCTCAATAATAACAGATGTGTCCAACCACTGTAATAACTGTGGGGAGTGTTCATGTGGTACCAGCAGCACTAAAATTATAATTATTATTTTGCTTTAACATGTCTCCTCATTCTTTACGTACAAACAGATACTGCTAAAAGATGTAAAGAAATAATGTGTTCATAAGGACAATCACAACATTGCATAATTAAAATATATATTGTAAATTGTTACAAATAAAGAAACTATTGTTGTGAAAATGGCAACAAATGCCTAAAATTCACTGACAACTTTTATTTGAATGTATTGTGAGTTAAAAATTCTGTTAATTGTAGTCAGAGTGTATATGTCTTTAGTTTAAATTTTATTTTAGGCAAAGTTTATTTTTTTACTCTTTAAAAGCTAAATTTTATAATTTAATTGTTTTTTAAGGATTCCTGACATTTTTAGATGCACCAGCGTTGATATTGGTCTGGCAGTCTGTTCTCCACTTTGATCAAGACTGAAATATCTCAACTATTGAATACATTGCCATCTACAGACATTCATGGTCCCCAGAGGATGGATCCAACTGACTTTGGTGATCCCTGACTTTTCTTTCGGTCGAAATTTTAATTTGTCCAACACTTTGGTTTATGGTCAAATACCAAACTAATGACCTTCACATCAGCCTCATCTGCGCTTTTTATTTAATGCTAATAAGCTAGACTAAGACAGTGAACACTGTAAACATCATACTTGCTAAACATCTGCATGTTAGCTTTGTGAGCATGTTAGCATGCTGATATTAGCATTTAGCTCAAAGCACTGCTGTGCCGAGCTAAAAATCAAGAGAATTATAGTAACATCAAAACACGGAAGATGCTGTATATTACATTGATTTCATATAAAAGCCATAAAATATTTATTCTGAGATAAAAGTAAAGTACGGAGCCCCCCTGGTGACATTGGATAAAAGAAAAATAATGCGTAGCCACACATTACTATCTCGTGGCCATGAGAAAATTATTGCAGTCATTTCCATGCAGAGACTGTTGATTGTTAACATGGACAAGTTATAGGAATGAATACAATGACTATACTTCAGTCACTTGCTGGTTTAGGCATGGAGTACATTCGTTATGTTAGCAAGAGAACTTAATTATATTAACCAACAGGCATCGATGACAGGCTCCATAATGGAACCACTCGTGGCCACGCATTAACTAAGATAGTAATGTGTGGCCACGCATTATTTTTTTTTAATCCAATGTCACCAGGGGCGCTCCGTAGTAAAGAGCTAGACATGCCATGGATTAAAGAAACTTTATTTAGACAGAGTATGAACGCAAAACCAGCAAATTAAACAACAAAAGATATTTTTGTAAAAGGTGTACAAGTATGTTTTACATTTACTAAAGTAAATTTTCCACACTAAGAAATAAATATCTTTGTTTTAGGACACAGCATTTTATTAGTAAAACTGTATTAGGATAGTTAGTCAGTTGCTTTCAAACAAACACACATATCTCTATTCAACATTGGTATAAGCATGCATAGCTACAGCAGTACTGGAAATGTTTGTCACATTTTCTCCAGAACAAACAATTGTCACTGATAAGTCAGCTGTGGGAAAACATTTCTCTGAAAACACAAAACATTCATAGTCGAGCAATGCCCCTCAAAATGCCCAATTCAATATCAATAACAATAGAATAAATGATGCTCCACAGCTCCACATGTCTAATATACTGACAGCAATCTTTTAATTTCTTCTCTTTCTCTGCAAATCCTGGTGTCATTTTTCTCCTACTCTTTGTGTTAATTTCATTACATTCACTTCCTTTTTATTTCTTGGTTTCCTCGATCTGCTCCACCTCGCTGGATTCGTCCACCACTTTGCCGTTGACCATCGTCTGTGTCACCACCTTCACAATCTTTCTGGTGCGAACGTCAGGCTCCTCTGCACAGAAAGAGATTGGAGGAGATGAGATGAGATTAAATGAAATGGGATGAGATGGAACAAAGGAGAAGAGAAAAGACAGAAAAGGGAATGATTTGGAATCAGTTTCGATACACAGTAATATGAGATAGGAGATGAGTTTAATTGGGATGACTCACGCTGGTGAGAAAGTAAGCTGAAATTAAAAGAGATGATACAAGACAAGAAAGGTTTGATGATATGAGAAGAAATGAGAATAAGAGAAGAAATGGGATGATCACATGAGATTGAATTAGGAAACATGATTATAAGAGATATGATTTGATGAGGTGGAAGAGATGATGAGAGAGGAGAGAAAGAAGAAAACATTAGAAACAGCGAGAGGGAAATGAGATTGGATGAGTAATTTTAATCTCATATTCCTCTGTAATTTGTGTGTAATCCTGCGCCTCTGTCTTTTATTTGTAGTTCAATGTGTTGCACAGTGAACTACTGTGTGTGAACTGTACTAAATAAGGTGTCATGCTGTGACAGCTTTAGGTGAAGGACTCCATGCAATTCTCACTAAAAACACTTAATTTGTGCAAACCGCTTTAACAACTCAACTTTCCTGTCTTATGAAAGACTTCACAGTCTTTGATTCTGTGTTGTCTTTAGTCTTCTAATGTTCCGAGACAAAGATTAACATTTTTAAAACACCTTGCTGCAGTGTGACTCAGTCAGATTAACACAGTTACAACACTGGGATGAATGTTTTTACACCCACATTTGTTGCTCTAGGAGCTGAGCTGTCAGCCGTGTTTGCATTTTGAGGTTCATAAAACAATCATTAGTGCAGAACCTCTTGGGTGTGTGTGAAAGAATATGTGTATGTATGTGAGCCCCGTTACAGCAAATGCACATCTGAATCCATATAGGGCTTGGCTGTTATGGAGCAGATGTTAAATAAACATTTGCGAACAGTTTGCTCAACTTATCCCTTTCATCACTGCAGCTTTAGTCTCTCTTTACCTCCCAGGTTGTGATAAGATGCATTCAAAATCAATCAATAACCAGTGGTTTCTCTCCTCGCTAATGTGCCATTATATAATACTGTGCCTGGATGTTATTCTAACATTCATAATGACTTTTGCTTTCTTTTATTGGTTAAACATAAAAAGCCAAACACTCACTTTTTGGTGGGGGAGGAACTTCTTTGACTCTGTGGGGCAGAAAGGAAACATGTTAGAATTCGCTTTGTTTCAGTTAGTTCAGGAGTTTGGGAAATGATTCACTGCCTGTACAGTTAATATGCTAGGCTTGAATCAATAGCTGGTCATCTTAATTTAGGTAATTAAATCACCTTTTATGGGGGGGGGGTACTGGTTACTGGTGTTACTTTCGGATAGATCCAAGTTGCTGTTTCCCCATGCTTCCAGTCTTTATGCTAAGCTAAGCTAACAAACTGCTGTCAGTAGCAGACAGATATGAGAGTATGTCATCTAAGTCCAGTTTGGTTAACGAAAGGTGTCTTGAGGAATACTAATACTATCATGATAACAACATTCTCACTAAAGTAATAGCTGATATTCAGGAACACAATAATGTGTCTACAAAGTACAATAAAGGGTGTAATGGCATTTTCACATGACAGCATCAATCAGCATAAGTTATTATGGCTAAAATTGTGAAAATAAGACCCATATTGTAATTAACCAAACTTTTTCTATATTTTATCCCCACACACTCACGTTTCCTCTCCCTCCAGCAGGCGCCTGTAGGTGGCTATCTCCATTTCCAGATTCTGCTTGATGCGGAGCAGCTGCTCATAGTCGGTCTTGGTGCGCTGCATGTCCAGCCTGAGCTGGGAGAGGTCATCTTCGAGCTGGTTCAGGGTGGCCTGAAGCCGCTCCATCTCAGTAGAGTATTTCTGACCGGTCTCACCCAGGTTACCCTCAAGTGCTGCAATCTGAGAAGAGAAAGGGGAAAATAGTAAGAGAACTGACCGGCCTTATCCACATACCTGAGTCTAATATTACCATTGTGTGCTTTTAATGTTGTCCATATTCATATCAGTCAATCAGTTTAAAGACTGGTGACCTAGGACACTTGAATAATTGTCTTCTAATTCAAGAAACGGCCCAAAATTATTCATAATTCTGTGATTACAAATGTTTAGCCATCATCACAGTGTCTGTACTGGCTGTATTGTAACCATCATACAGTAATGTGATGCTTCAGGTTGGCTGGTATTAAAGGTTTTGGCTTTTTAACCGCCTCACATTTCCTCAAAAGGTGTTTGCCAGTAGAAGTCAAACCTCAGTGTCTCCTGATTCTGAAATTACTTCCAAAACCATCATCAACAAATACCTGTGAACTGACAAGGCCTTAGGATCCAAAACAAACAGTCACTGCTCAGACAAGATTACCCATACAACCACCGAAACTCACCCCCATACAATTTAGCAACAGAATCCTGTATGTTCTTGCATGACTTATCAGCGTGGGAGAACATGTTGACTGTCAACACAGGATTATAGGAGAGAAAAGCAAAATCATTTTCCCCTGATCGGTATGATACAGTAGCATGGATATGCAAAAATAAAAACTGGTCTAATTAAATCTGAACTTCTGTAAGGATTTTCTGTGTTGTCATTTGACAAATCCCTCATTAAACTGCTCTTTCTTCAACACAACTTGCTGTGGCTTTGTGATTTTAAAATCATAGCTGCAGTGTTTGCACATCTTTAAGTGCATTAGATTTTGTTTGCACAGCTCCAAATGCAGAACCTTGCAGAGTTTTCTATTCTCGACATGAATCTTTGTGGACATGGACGCACCTCTTCTAACAAAATCTGACCTCTTTCGCCAAATTCCATCATTCTGTATGTACAATAAAATCCTCTTTTTGTTGGTGTGTTCATGTGATATTTTTGCTCTACTTCTCACCTCGCTGCTCAGGTGCAGCAGCTCACCTGTTTGTGCAGACTCTCCAGCTCCACCTCCAGTGTCTGCAGAAAGCGCTGCCTATCAATCAGCTCGCTCTGAGCTCCTCTCAGAGCCTCGTTGCTCTCCTTCACCTCGCTTTGCACCGTCTCCAGCTGGAGAACAAGACACAAAATGTCTGAGGAATGCACACCCACATAAAATGCATGTTCTGTACTAGAAGATGAATTTAATGTCTGTGTGTTTCCCCTCACATGCATGCCATTTTCTGTTGAATATAGTGTTGGTTTTTAACTTAGTTTAGGCCATTTGATACATAATTTGATATGGTAGTATTAGACTTGAAAGGTGTACCTGATGACAAAATATTGTAATGCAGAGATAAAACTGTTGATTAATTGATCCACAGAGAAAAGAAATCAGTATTTTTTCAAGCAAAAACAGTGAAAATGTGTTTTTCTTGCTTTGGGTTTTGGACATTTCGAGACATTTGACATATATCATACACTAGACAGTTATAATAATCTGCAATAAAAAATAATTAATAGTTATATTACAATAGTCACATTTTAATGGATAAGCTGATTAAAGAAAGAGAGAGAAATGGCAGTTTCTCCCCACACCTTCTTGCGGTACCACTGCTCTGCTTGGTCCTTGTTCTTCTTGACAATCCCCTCATACTGGGAACGCAGGTCAGACAGAATGGTTCCCAGCTCTGGCCCACTGGCACCAGAATCCACCTCCACATTCACCTCATCTCTGGCAATACGAGACTTCATTTGCTCCATTTCCTGCAGGGGGAGAAGCAGGCTTATGGTTTGCATTGTTTTATCTCTAAATAAACTTAACTTAAAGTTGCACCATATGTGTGAATATACTTGTGCCTACGTGCAACATATGGTACCAGTAATAGTTTGGTGAATCCTACACCGCAGGGTGGCAGAGAGGATGTGAGGGAATCTTCATAATTTAGATGTTCTCTATCAATAGTTGATGGGGCAGAGCTCACCTTACCCCTGGCTTTTCAACTCTCACACGCATGTTACACTCCTGCTCTCTATTCATGCGTACTTGCAGGATCTCTTTCACTCTCTCTTCTCTGTGATATTGTGGTAAGTCTCATGCAACCTGTTTTAACTGGATTTAATGCTCTCAATATATATTCATACACAATTTCCCATCCTTTGTTAGAGAAGAAAGTTCAATCATATACTTTATTTTATGCACAAAGATCGTATCCTTGAGAGAAAATAGTGTGATCTAGTTTCCCAGCTTACCCCCAGAGATGTTGCTTTTCTATTTTTATGGGGGAGAAGTCTTTATTTTCAACATAAAGGATTGACATAGATAAGAGCTGACAAAGGGGCCTTTACAGTCCTGACATTTTTTGACCAACCTTTACTGACCAACACCACATCTAACTTTTGCACCTTATTGTTGTGTTCTGTCAGTGGCCTCAAATATCTCTTAAATTAACTAAATCCGTGCAGCCTTATACACATCTTGTTTCAGTAAGTAAGTGATCAATCCTTCCTTTGGTGAGAGGAGTTTATCTTAGTTTCTCATCCCCCCAGAGGACAGTAGTTAGGACGTCTCGGATCAGCTGACTGGACAAAAAGGGCAGGTTTGGGAAACCAGATCTACCTGCTCCTTTTGTCAGTAGTAACCAGAGGACCACCTCCATCCCTCCTACGTTTCTTTCTGCAGCTTAGCCTCTAAAAAAGACCTCTTGAGTCCACCAAATTGGGTCAGTCCGATATTTAACAACTTGCTTGTTTGTGATGGCAGGTTGGAGAATAAGAAAGGGGGCCAAAACGAAAACAAGACGAAGCAAATGTCAAGTAATGGAGAAGGCAAAGTAAATGTGATAAAATGGACTGTCAAAAGACCTGCATACCGTACGAATGTGGGAGAGGAAGAAAAGAGGAGGGATCAAAAACAGTACAAACAGACTTACCTCCTCATGGTTTTTCTTGAGGAAGTAAAGTTCTTCTTTCAGGCTGTCCAGATCTCCCCTCAGAGAGGCGATGATCTGCTCATGGTCGGTCTTGGCCTTTTTCAGAGCAACACAGTCACGCTCCACAGACTGACACATCACCAGCTCAGTCTCCCACCTAGTGACGTCCAGAAAAAGCAGAATATATATTGTTTATTTACTTCTGTTTTAGGTGCAATAGAAAGTACGTCCTGAAGTTACTTTTTAATACTTAGATATGGGAAGTAACCATTTATATAAGAAAGAAGAAAAACATTTGTATTGATTTAGTTATGGTTTGGTTCTGGTACATGTATATTTTTAATATCTCAACACTTTCAGAATATTATACTAAAATGTGACAAATATTTAATGGTGCCATGCTATACAGCCATACAGTTATTACAATTTAGCAAAGTGGCCACTTAATCAAAGACATACATACAACCAAAACTAATCTCAGCTTTTCATCATCATACTGGAATCATTAGTCACTCACTTGATTCTGAAGTCATCAGCAGCCAGTTTAGCATTATCGATCTCTAACATGAGACGAGCATTTTCCAAGGTTTTCTTCCTCACCTGACAAATATTAACGTGGGGTAACAATGTTATAATAGACATTAACATCCTTCATTGTCTTCTACATGTGATGCTTTATGTATGTTCATCTGTATATTTGGACTTTATAATGGAATTATTAATCCTTACAAAAGACTAATTTGAATCTTATCTTATCTTATCTGTCCAATAAGGTAACACATTCCAACTTCATTAAACTGTAACTTTTTCTATTTAGTTAAAATCGGCAACACAATCATTAACTTCACTCTGGATTCATTTGGTACAAGTTAACTCAAAGTCAAACCCTGCCTCTGATGAGTCTACTGATGATCCTGCTAAAAGACGTAATATGTTGACATTTGCATTAATGTTTTGTCTATGTAAAATAACCAAAGTCCTCATAACCTTGAGCTTTGTTGACACATACAGTACAAAACTTGCAATCTGGCAGTTTAAATCTCTGTATAATGTCTGGTTTGGTTGCATGTCCCTTCATGTCTACCTCTTGCTCAACAGCATGAGCCTGGGCCATCATTGAGTCGAGGTCATGACCTTTGGGAATACGGTCAAGCATCAGCTGCTTGATCTTCATCTCCAGGTCTGCGTTGGAGCGCTCCAGTGAACGCACCTGGAGAAAGACAAAGAAAAAAGAGACCGCACAATGATCACAGTGTTTTAATTTCCTTCCCTGCATGGCATCAAATGGAGATAAACCTATCACCCATTTGGCTGCTGACCAATAGCTTAACAGTGGGGCACTGTTTTATGTGTCACACCTTGTCCAGGTAGTTGGCCAGACGGTTGTTGAGACTCTGCATGGCTTCCTTGTCGTTGGTGCTGTTTCCGTGCACACCGTTAAGTTGCAGGCTCATTGGCCCGTTGAGATCCTGGCTGATGGATGTTGAACGGCTCAGCGGGCTGGCTGCGGCAAAAGAGACCGAAGCACGGGAGCGAGCACGTCCAGTGTCCATCAGAGAACGACTGGAAAAGGAAGGCTGGCGACTCATGGAGTAACTCCTCATTGAGATGCTGGAGGCCATGATGGGTGGCTGTGAGGGCAGAGGAGACAAGGAGAAACGAAATTGGAAATTAGACGATGACGTGTTGAGGAACTTGTGAGGACAAAATTGACATGAAGAGAGAAACAGAACAAGAGCACATGTTACATCTATCACAGCTCCTAAGGGTTCATCTCTGTGAAGAGAGTGGATGGATATTCAAATTACAGATGTCATAAGGAAAATACATAACTTCAAAAGCCAGACTGTTTGACCTATTGCAGTCATTTAAAGCTATTGTTACATGAGATCTGGCTGTAGAAAAGCTCTTTTGTGGCCCTTAAGCAAATGTGTTTTATTCTAGCATTTTGCCAGACTTAAATACAAGTAGGACCTTATATTCAACACCTCACTGAAAATGATGAAAGGAGTCTTTAAATGGGTGTACGTACGTCTGGCTAGTGGCTTTTCAAACTAACCATTTGCATTGAAGAGATGACTGACTATACGGTCATAGCCACTTCAGTCTGTCCATCTAGGCTCTGTTCAAATAAGACTTCAACTCAAGTCAGTGTAAAATCAAAATGTAAATGAGTACAGCTCAGCCCTGGGTCAAAGAAGAGCCTCTCACTGGGACTGAGGACACTCTCATAGAGTCTGTTACTATGATAATAAGATGCAGTTTATATTCAAGGAGAGGGGAAAAAAGATGAAAAGTGGCTCCAAAAGATAGAAGCCTTCCTAAAAGACTACTGAAAATGTAGTTAAATATTATTGAATAAATGAAATTATAAAATGTGCCTCATAATTTATGTGCAAAGAACATTTTGTATTGATGTTACTTTAATTTCCCTTACCTTTTTAACTTTAAAGTTTAACAGGTCACACTACTTCTTGGACTTCAACTAGTTGGTGTATGTCTCACATACAGGACAGTGTATCTTTGTCTGTGAGTATATGTGTGTGTGTGTG